CATACATTTATATATGTATTTATATATATGCATACACATTTGCAAACACATTATGTGTTTACACACTCCGAAATATGTATATATATGTATACACACAGTCATGAATTATGTATATATATATATATATATATATATATATATATATATATATAATATAATATATACACACACACACACACACACACACACACGTGTGTCTGCGTCTGTTTGTTTAAGTGTATACGGGTGTGTGTGTGGTGTGTATGTGTTTATATATTTGTGTTTGGTGTGTGTGCCTGTGTGTTTCTAAGAATACATACATCTTCCTATTCCCTTAACGTTAAATATATATCGATGTATCAGTTACAAAAACTAAATCCCACATAGCACCATGCTTCGTATATTTTAGTGTTCTAGTTAATATTAGAACGAGCATGCTGTTTTTTTTTTTTTTTTTTTTTTTTTTTTTATACTCACAAACACAGGAAAAACATTAGATAAAAGTAATGCATGAAATACATTATAGGCACCTTACGAAACGCTTATCTTTTATCACATAAAAATGCAATGTGTCTGTTACAGGTATATCATACATCGATATGGAATATCTAAAGATCATCTACTTTTTAAAAAGTCTAATATATGTTATATATAAGCTTTATTATGATGACATCTGTGCCTTTGCCACTTTGTCTGTAAACACACACTTACACACACACATACACAAATACATACATACACAATACATTTTTTAAAAATTTACCTCTAATGAAAAGAAAATACCCAACCAAAATCATCATAAATAGACCCTCCACTTTTCTCTTTTTTCGATTTTTTCTATTTTCTTTATCTTGCTCTCCCCCCCCCCCCTATTTTTCTCTCCGCCTCTTTCTCTCTCTCCATCTCTGTCTGTCTCCCTTTGTCGCTTTTTTCATAAAATCTATGAAAATTTAGATAAATGCTTCTTCTATTTTTTCCAGCATGACTCATGTTTCTAAAGTAGATAGTATAGTGGGATTATCTCGTTTTTGTGGAGTTTTTCTTGTATATGTGTATATGTATGTATACAATATATGCATAACTAGAGACAGCCTTGTGCCCTTAACCTTATATGAAAGCTTGTTTTTCTTTTTTATGAATATATAATGCTTTCGATTAGACATTTTCTTTTCAGCCGAGGTGACTTTTTCTTTTCAAATTGCAGGATGTATGCGTGTTTAAAGGAGCGTATGTATTTATATATATGTTCGTGAGTGTGTGTGTTTATAGACAAAAGTGGCGAGAGAACTGATGACATAACACATGTCATATAAAAAAAAAGCTGATATATAACAAATAAAAAAAAATAAAAAGATAAATCAAAATAAAACAGTTCTCTCAAGTTTGAAATGTAGATGACCTTCTGATTACGTTTATTTAGATGATTTCATTAATTTTCCACACCTTACCTTTATTCCCTCTGCTTCTCTCTGTGTGTTTGAGTATAACATAATTAAATGTATAATATATATTATATATATATATATATATAATATATATATATATATATATATATATGTGTGTGTGTGTGTGTGTGTGTGTGTGTGTGTGTGTGTGTGTGTGTGTGTGTGTGTGTGTGTGTGTGTTTATCGTACATTATATATATATATATATATATATATCTCGGGTAAAAAAAAATTGAATTTTCAAATGCCTTCTTATTAACTACCATAAATAATGTACATTACAGATCTTTCTCAATGAGCCGATTTATGCATAGCTAGGAGTGGTTTGGTAGGAGGGAGTAGGGGCTGGTCCGTAGGAAGGGGCGGGGGCGGGCTGGTAGGAGCGAGAAGGGGCAGGTTGGTAAGCAGGGTATTGGGCCTCTCCTTCGTATGTAACTTCAGCCACGTATCCGGAGTCGCCGTTCACGGTGTAGGCAACCCTCTGCACACGGCCGTCGGGAAGGAGAACGTAGTAAGCTCCCTGAGTATCGTAGCCATTACGATTTTCCTGGTGATTGTAGTCGTTTCCAGAGTAGTCGTCTCTCACCGCGTAGGTGAAGTCGTACTGAGCAGGCCCCTGTAAAAAAAAAAAAAAAAAAAATCGAATTACCTTCCATCTGGATTATCTTATTTCTCAAAAAATAATTTAAACTCAATAGGGAATGATATCAATACAAGGAAATTCTACTGCACAAGCTTCTATTAGAAAATTAACAAATTAATACATTGATAATTCATAGTAAGATTATTTGTGTTCTTGTGCGACTGCGTTACTTGTGTAATAACAATACGAAGCTGACAATACTACAAAGAATGGAAGTAACAGAAAGCATTTTAAGAGCTTTTTAGGGTTTGATTATAGAGTACACATTAAATTTTTTTTTTCGAATATTGAGGGATCCGAGACCTTCAAGTTATCACAAATGAAAGGTAAATTTTTTGTGCACACAGAGACTTACAGAAGGAGCAGGTGCATTGTAGGAGGGGGAAGGCGCTCTGTAGCTCGGGGCAGGGGCACTGTAGGAGGGCGCAGGAGT